TACTCTATAAATAAAAAGAAATTAATAAATAAATAAAATTAATAAAAAATAATAATTATTGCAATGAAACGAATATAAATGAAATAAATCTCAATAATTAAGGAAGAGAAGGAGAAAAAAAGACGCAGTAAATTGGGAAAAAAAACATGACGTCTAAATGAAAATCATAAGGAAGTAGCAAATCGATAAATTTTTTGCTTTTGAGACAAGAGAGTTTCTCATGTACACGATATATATATATTAGATCTAGAGAAAGATGTTTTATATACAATATATATATAAAGTGGGGAGAAAGCCACACGGTTCACAAACAGCGCGCGGTCTAGTTTAAGTATATATACTCTAAATGAACACTACTATCTACAATATAACTTGCGTATATATAGTATAAAACATCCAAGTTTCCCATTAAAGTGTTTTATGACCTCAACTTTTTTTTTTTCATGAATTATGCGACAATATTATAAGTATATAAACAGGGAATAAAAAAAAAATGTTAAAAATAAAATAATAACTCAGTTATTATATACTTTTACTATTTTTATATAACATTTTAAATAAGATATCTATATTATTTGAAATTGGGTTCTTTATAAATTTTATATAAAAGAATATGTATATAAAACTTTAATGAACAAGTTTCTTTTATAATATATAAAAGTTTTGTATATCAAATTTTTTTTTTTATATACAGCTATCATTTTTTCATATAGGCTACTAAGTTTTTTTTATATTTTCTAGAACACTACCACCTTTTATTTATCAATTATTAATGAATAGTAGCTAACTATATTCTCGGATAAAACTTTTTTTTATTAATTAATTTTTTTTCAATTTTCCCTTTTAATTATATATAAATTTAAATATTTATGTGAAAAAAAATTGAATTTCAATTCAAATAATCCACTTTACTATTATCAAATGAAAATTTAATCAAATAAATATTTGCATTTATTGTATAATTATTATTAGAAAAAAATTATTATTATTATTTTTTATTTATTTTTTTTATTTGTAAAATTTATTTTTGTAGTAATATTATTTGAGTCAATTAAATTTTATTTATTTGAAATAAAACAATTATTATTGATTCTAATATATAGTTTATTTGAATTAAATAAAAACTATTTGGCCCAAATAATTATTTATTTGATAATAGGCAACCAATTATTTGAATTAAATAAATTTCGTCTATAAATATTTCAATGCAATTTATTAATTTTTGACATATTTTTCAAAAGAAAAAATATTTCAATTTTCTATTAATAAAAAAAATAATTTAATTTTGAAGAAAAAATTCTAAAGTATTTTTGTTTTTCAATCTCCAAGTTTTAATATAAAACAATGGCACGTATAAAATATGATTTTTTCATACTAATAATAATAATATTATCACAAAAATTCCAAAACTTTTATTGAAAAAAAAAAAAAAAAAAGAAATTCGAAAAAATTGACTATCCATTGAATGACGCATTTTGATATACATATTAAAATATATGCGCACAGAAAAGAATGCCAAGGAATAAAAACGCAAAAGGAAAATTTTATTTTTTTATCGGAATTTTCCTTAAATATATAATAAAAAGAGTTAATGAAAAAACGAAAAATAATTTAAGACGCACATTATTTTTTTTAAAAGGCAAATAATTAATCAATAGAATTAGAAAATACTTTTTTTTTAAACAGATAATTGGATTAAATGCGGATTTTTAAAAAGCATAATTTTAAATTTCAATAAACATTATTCATGTTAATCTTTACAATTTGTATTCTCTGTTTTTAATAAATCATTATCTTATGAGCTGACAACATTTGCATCGTAAAATTCTACGGCAAAAAAAAGGTAAAAAAAAAAATTTATATCATGTGTGTGTTTTTTTTTTGTTTTTATAGTAGAAACTATATAGAAATGCATTAAAAATGTCCTTCAATTACAGTTATTAAGTCTATAAACATAATAATTTAATGACAGTAAATTATGAACTGAACTGAATTTTTTTTATTTATTTATAAAAACAAAAAAAAATTTAAAAAATTTTAAAAACAAAAAGCAATAATACCCGTGTAAAAATTATCAGGGCTCTAGTAGGGAATGAAACGCCACATCTAATCAGGGCCAAATCAGAACGAAATGTGGATTTCCTAATCAGGACCACATTTTCATTCCCTAATACACGCAGAGAAATGATTTATTTGAACCAAATAAAATATATTTGAGTTAAATAAACGTATATTTGTCTCAGAGCCTACTAACTTATTTATTTGGCGTAAATAAAAGTTTTATTTGTCAGAAATAAATTTTTCTTTGCCTCAAATAAATTTTTTATTTAAATGAAATAAAATGTATTTGCAACAAATAAATGAGTTAGTAGGCTCGGAGACAAATATACCATTTCTCTGAGTGTAGGGCAGCCTATAATTTGGCCCCGATCTGGGCCTTGGCAAAATTTCTATACACGGGTATAATTTAAATACCCATTATGTTATAAATTTTTGTTTAAAACGGAAATAAAAATTCTGTGCGAAATAAATTATTTTACGTGGAAAAAAAAATATTTTTTTTTTTTATTATCATTAATTGCAATGAAATTGGAGTATTATCTTTTGGGTATTTTAGATAAATTGAAAAAATGGCACTAATATTATAAAATTTATCCTTCTTTAGAGTTCATAAAAACGAATATACAAGTGAAGATAATCAGAAAACTGACAATAAAGATAGAGACAATAGAACAGGATAGACGAGTTAGTGTGGGCAGTGTATATAGATATATATTCAACACCTGGAGGTGAACGAACGACTCTTTTGCCATTCTAGACGTCGTATATATACGTTTTCAGCATTGAGAGAAAGAGAGAAAGAGAGAGAGAGAGAGAGAGAGACTAACAATAAATTTTCCACGACAAGATTCAACTATCAATTCAATGGCGTGTCTCATTGATTTTGTCAATTGAGATGCGGGTGTGTGAGATGTAATTCCAAAAATTGTCACTACTATACCTGGGAAAAGTTTTCTTTGACAAAAATTCGTACCTGCTCTTTTAAAGTGAGATCCGAACCACCTATTACAGAGTGTATACTGTATACAATACTATATATATATACACTTCCATTTATGTTTGCTGTACGAGGAAACGTGCCAGTTTTTTTAAAGCCTAATACTTCTTAAAGCGGATCGCCTCTTTTGCTATATCTTTTTTTCTTCCTTCTATACTATATATATATATTATACCACCGTCGTACCTTTCTCTTTTTTCTTTTTCATTTAGAGATAAAAATAAAATTTCAAAACATTTTGTTTCGATGACTAATCGCAATGTTACGAAGAAAAAAAAACTATTTTTTTTTCATATTTGTGAATGAAAAAATATTTATTTAATTCGGTTCTTTCAGAAAATAAATAAAAATATTTTTGGAAAATATGCTAAAAAGCATAATTTTCATATAAGAAATTCTAAAAGAAAAAGTTTTATAAACTTTTTTTTTTTTTTAAATAAAATTTAGTGTACGGCCCTGATATAAGTGCCTTCGAAACCCTAAGGCATTTGATAATCCAAAGTTCGTACCCATATATATATATATATATAAAGAGAAGCACACGAGAGTACATATAGGAACTGGTTAATTTCGTAATTGCTTTTTATATGTGCAAGCTACTCGTTTTATTATCGCGTTTTTAATACAAAACTGTGTATTTAATAAAATCAATTTTTATTTAACCAAATTTTCTATTTAACTGAATTATTTAACCAAATTTCTGTATTTAATTAAATTATTATTTAACTGCATTTTTTTATTAATTAAATTATTGTTTAACTAAATTATTTAACATAATTTTTATTTAACTGAATTATTTAACCGAATTATTAAATTATTATTTAGCTGAATTATTATTTAATCAAATTTCTATTTAACTGAAGTATTAAACCGAATTTCTATATTTAATTAAATTATTATTTAACTGAATTTTTATTTAACTGAATTATTATTTAACCAAATTTCTGTATTTAATTAAATTATTATTTAACTGAATTATTTAACATAATTTTTATTTAACTGAATTATTTAACAGAATTTCTATATTTAATTAAAGTATTATTTAACTGAGTTATTATTTAGCTAAATTTTTATTTAACTGAATTATTATTTAGCCGAATTTTTATTTAACTGAATTAATATTTAACCAAATTTCTATTTAACTGAATTATTTAACCGAATTTCTATATTTAATTAAATTATTATTTAACCGAATTTCTATTTAACTGAATTATTTAACCGAATTTTTATTTAAATGAATTATTTAACCAAATTTCTGTAATTAATTAAATTATTATTTAACTGCATTATTTAACATAATTTTTATTTAACTGAATTATTTAACAGAATTTCTATATTTAATTAAATTATTATTTAGCTGAATTTTTATTGAACTGAATTATTATTTAGCCGAATTTTTATTTAACTGAATTATTATTTAACCAAATTTCTATTTAACTGAATTATTTAACCGAATTTTTATTTAACTGAATTATTATTTAACCAAATTTACACGCACGGACTTGCTAATTCTTATAGCTGCCACAGCAAATATCTATTGGCTGAAATAGCAAATATGTATCAGCTAATTTTTTTTTTTTTATTAATTACAGAATATGAACGTAATTACATTAGTGATATACAATAATACTGTAGTGCATAATTTTCTATATATATATTATTAATAGATACCGTCACAAGTTCCGCTTGTTGATATTCCATACTTCCGTGAAATATGCTAATGGTAGCAATAATTTTCTAATAATCGTGAATTAACAATTATTTGCATCGACGCGTATTAAACCTTCTCTCTATATATGTATATATGTTGTATATATATATATGTTTTTCTTTATAATCCGTCAGCTCTTTGTATAATATAAAAAAAAACGGAAGTGAAATAATTGCGACAGACTTTTAAACATAAAATATTAAAAAAAAAATAATAATTATTTGTTCTTACCTTTTTTTGAGGACGAATTATGAATACGACGACTTTCTTTCTTCCTGTCCTGCAACGAAAAAAATAAATTATTTTTTATATTATATTATATTTTATAATAATAATAAATTAATAATATATATTATATATATATATAATTATAATATATATTTTATATTTAATTTATTGATATTTTATTTATTTTTATTTAGAATATAAAATATACTTAATATAATTGAAATAATAATATAATATATAATATTATAATTAGGTGTATTTATATTTAATATAAACATATTGCAATATTTTTAATAAATATTATTTTTATCAGAGATGTAAAATTTTATTTCAAAAAAAAAAAATTTCATTTTTTTTATCTCTAAAAAATAATTTCATTAATTTCTTTTTTTTCATATAATTTACTAATTAATAATTGATATTTAATTATTGCTATGCAAATCTTTGCTCACTAAAAAGACATAGTTATATATATATTGAAAAGATGTATAATTATTTTAATGCGTAAGCGCAAAAAAAAAGATGAAGAAAAGAAATCATTACAAGTGCAATGTTATTAAATTTCGCAAAATGTTTTATTCTCTCGGTGAATTGCGAAAACTGAAAAGAAGGCATTATGCAAATTTGTATAAATCTTTGTATATATAATATACATATATATATACATACACTTAATAGGAATCGAGGTAAGCGCGTTGATGAATATCTTTTCAGTCGATTATGCTTTTTTTTATAACGAATTAACTGGAAAAAAAAAGTTAAGAAATAATATATATGATGAATAAATTTTTATGCAATATAATTTTCACGCGAATTGCAAATTGAATATTATATACATGTGAAATGAATTTTAAAATAATATACGAAAAAATAAAATTAAAAAAATGAAATATTAAAATTTTAAATTTTTTTATTAAAATTAAAAATTAATTTAAATTTAATCAAAAGAATACTCTGGTTGGGGCCTAACCAGTTTTCCTAGTTTAAAAAATATAATTTACTAATTTCAAAATTTTTTTTTTATTTTATTTCTTTTACCAACATTAAATTAATATAATTAAATGTTAATATTAAATGATTTATATTAACTAATAAAAAAAAGTTAATTAAATGATTGATTAATTACAGTTTGTCTTAAATATATATATGCTGTTATATACAATATATTAAATAAGATAAATGGTGCAATTAAGTCAAAAAAAAAAAAAAAACTGGAAAATCACACAAAATGAGAAAAATTATTTTCCTTTTTCGCCCTCTTTCGAGATAAATTGTTTAAGTTTCATTATATATAAGAAAATGAACAGAGTCACATATAGGGTGAGAGAGATGAAAAAAAGGGAAGAAATATTTCCTTTAGACGCCTAATAGGTTGATAGAAACAAAAATTGTCGTGTATAAAAGATTTCTTTGTTTCAAAGAAATTAATTTCTTTACTTTTTTTTAATACAAAGAAAATTTATTTGTTTTAAACAAATTATCTTTGATTCAAAATGTGAAAAATGACAAATATAATTCGAATAAACTCCCACATGCGGTCGTCAAAAATAATTACACCCGAAATATTTTATTTGAATCAAATATAATATATATTCGAGTTAAATAAACGTATATTTGTCTCATCCCATTTATTTGATGTAAATAAAATTATTTAAATCAAATAAAAAATTCCTTTCAATCAAATAAAAAAATTCCTTTAAATCAAATAAAAAGTTCGTTGAATCAAATAAAAATTCATTTAAATCGAATAAAAATTTGTCTGAATCAAATAAATATTTATTTTGCTCTGAGATAAATATATTTCTCTGTGTATAAATATTTTTTTTTGTATTTCACAAAAACAAAAAAAAAATAATAAATGAGTTGAAAATTATTTTACGAGTACAATTTCTTCGTGAAAAAAAAAATATATATATATATGACTTCTGATTAATTTGTTCAAGTGGCAATCACTGATCGGAAAAAATTGGTAAAAAATAAACTCTCAAACGAGAGAGAGCAAAAAAAAGTTTGTTTTCAAGCCTTTAAGATATATACTCCAAAATTTAACGAAGGGCTATAGCGCAAAGCCTGAGCCTGGTGGTAAAGTGGGAGAAGAAGGTTGACTAAAATCGATATGGGCAACCCCTGGGTTCCAGGACGCCATTAGGCAATTCGATATATACATATATATATATAAATATATATATGTATATGTACCAAGAATGCTTCAAATTGAACGAAACTTGAAAGTCAAACTTAATTAAATTCTTTTTTTGAAATTGGAATAACTTTTGTTTTGACTGCCCGTCCGGTTAATAATTAATTAAAATAATAATAATAATAATAATAATAATAATAATAATAATAATAGCAGTAATTAATTAAAAAACAACAAAAATTTAAAATAAACTAAAATAATAATTTAAAAAAACGTCAAATTGAGAATTAACTTTTTTTTATAAATTACGAATTCTCGACGATAATATTTTTCTCAATATTGATATTGAATTTTTTTTTGTTAATGAAAAGGAAATATTGATTTAAGAACTTTTTAAGTGACTATTATTTTTCTTACGATAAACTTGAATTGGATGAAAAGTATATCTAAATATTATAGATATATGTAAATGAAAATTGAGATGAGATATAAAAAGGAGATTTTACACTGAGAAAAATGTTTAGTCAGAGCAACCAAAATTATTTGTTGGGCCAACAAAAAAATTTTTGTTGGTATATTTAAGCAACCAAACTATTTGTTTGAGTCAACCAAAAAAATTTGGTTGAGTGTTTTTTGTTGGCATAACAAAAATGTTTGGTTAGCTCAACCAAATTTTTTTTGTTAGGTCAACAAAAATGTTTGGTTGATCAAACACACAGTTTTTTTTTGTAAAATTAAAAATTTTATTCTATTTGGTTGTCGCAACCAAATTTTAGTTGGAATTTAAAAATGTTCTATCAAATAATTTTTTTGGCCTAACCAAATGTTTGGTTGAGATAACTCTGCGACTTTGTTTCAGCCAAGAAAAATTTGGTTACAAGAACCAAAATTGTCTAATCATACAATTTTGTTGCAATCACTAAATTTTTTTTCTCACTGTAAATTGAAAACAAAATTGAATTTGAGAATATATTGTGAAAAACTCAAAAATATAGAAATTAGTATAACGAGAGTTCTTTCGACAATGGCATATGTCGAGTCAACGAGTTACGTGCCATTCTAGGGGGGGGGAGGGGCCCAAGAGAGTGCGGTTTCCTCTCACTGAAAAAGGATTGTTGCCACAGAGAGCGAGGCAAGTTTCTTTTTCCATCTCGTCGCCTTTTTTATTAGAGGAATACCTTCCTCGTAATGCGCGAGGCCATCTTTGGCTCTACTCTTGGCAAAAGGTTCGCATCACGAACAATGTGTATATAAAACCCTCCTTTTCCTTGTTCTTTATAAATATCAAAAAAAAAAAAAGATTTTTTTCGCTCTTTTTAAAAATATTTCAAAAAAAAATAATGATAATAATTTTATTATTATAAATAATAAATATTTAATACACCCAGAGAAATTATATATACATATATATTTGTCTCAGAAACTAAAATATTTGTATCAAATAAATATTTATTTGTTGCAAATAAATTTTTATTCGTTGCAAATAAATTTTTATTTCTAAAAATTAATTTTTATTTAAATTAAATAAACATTTTATTTGTCATAAATAAAAATTTTCTTTACGCCAAATAAATGGGCTGAGACAAATATACGTTTATTTAACTAAAATATATTATATTTGGTTCAAATAAAACAATAATACAAATTATAAATAATATTATTGTAAAATAATAATTATATAATATTGTACAATAAATATAAAATAATTATATAATAAAAAGAAAAAAAATTTCAAAATTTTAACTTTGAATTTTATTCTATATTTCTCCTAATTTAGATATTATATAGCAAATTTCTTATACCTCCATATAAATGAAATAGAAAACGCCATTTTTACCCCCCACATTGGGATAACAATAAAAACCATGCGAATTTATATTTTAGAAAATGCTTTCGATTTTACGACAGGGAAAAAAGATCTTCCCATCAATCATAAAAGTAGTTCAAAGGGAATTATTATATATAGTGCAATCTAATGCCTCTGGGTTTTATTTTTAGAAGAAACTCCACGTTTCGTTATGCAATTAGAAAGCAAATTTTCCTAAATTTTCTTTTCGAAGAATAAAAAAAAATTATATAATTTTGATTTTTTTCAAGTATTATTAATTTGCTTTTTATTAAAATAAAAAAAAAAAACTCAATTGCGGTAAATTTATTATATGTCAGGAGACACGTTGGTCATTTGTTCACTTTACGAAAGAGAGGTTCTATAACTTTCGCTTCGATCGATTCGACAGTACGAAAGAAGTAATTTATTTTTCAACTGCTGGTGGGTGCTGTTTTCTCTATTTTTATACACTTCGTTAAATTGATAATCTCAATCTAAATACGACTTTCTATCTATGAAAATACATTGAAAATAAATGTTTATAATTTTTCTTGAGACTATCAAAAAAAAAAAAAAAAAAAAATAATACACCCAGAGAAATGATTTATTTAAACCAAATAAAATATATTTGAATTAAATAAACGTATATTTGTCTCAGAGCCTACTAACTTATTTGGCGTAAATAAAAATTTTATTTGTCAGAAATAAATTTTTCTTTGGCTCAAATAAATTTTTTATTTCAATGAAATGAAATATATTTGCAACAAATAAATGAGTTAGTAGGCTCGGAGACAAATATACCATTTCTCTGAGTGTAATAATTTTTTTTATTAAAATTAATTTCATTTTTCAATTGTATATATTTCTAAAATTAAAAAATTAATTTAAATAATATATTTGAGGCAAGAAATATAAGTAAAAAAAATACTATATCAATTGAAATGAGGAGATAAAAGGAGCATGTACAGAAATAACATGATATTGATCAGAGAGGAGGTCTATTGGTCGTTGAGAGAGGCCTCCTTTTGCAAAGAGCGAATCCCACGGGCCTGAGGCCCCAGATATATAAACCCCAGGAAAAACG